CTCTTAACCCGGTTATGATGCTTAAAGTAGCCTCATGTTTTGAAATGCTGTTTTTATATTGTTTACTTATAAGAGAAATGGACCGAGAAATTGAAGCGGCATAGACAAAGACGGATTGTCGGGGATTAAATTTTAGCTACCTGCTACAATTTAGTACAATCCGATCGCACAAAGTTTGTTTAAAAGTACACCTCATCCTATACCGATAATACATAATATAAAAATATTGAACATAAGCACCAGTACTACATTTATTTACGATTTGCATACATAATAAGCTTTTATTACTCTCTTTCATTTCTAAACAGACTATAGTAGTTTATGCAGTAATTTCTTTTCCAATGATTGTTATTTTTCTTCTTCTTTGTTAATGGCTATAACCGAAACTAGAGGAAAGAAAATAAAACATTTTTAAATTGAAATAAAAAGGAATTCTATTTCACTCCATTACACCTGTTTATAAACATGTAACATATTTACAGTCTCGTTTCTTTAAACAGTTTTTAGTTTTTCAAATGTTTTAGCTTGGTTTACAGACTTCCATGACAATTCGAGATACAACAAAGAGAACTGGAGATTTTATATTTGCTATTGTAGTCTGCTCCATGGCGTTTTCGCGGATGACTCGTTTCTAAATTTCAGGTATTCCTAACCCCGCTCGTCTTGATTGAAATTATCTATCTCGATTCTTCTGGATATCTATCTTATATATAAGGTAGATAGGTTGATAATTATCCTTTTCTTTGTTCTTAATATATCTCTTCTTCTGATGGCTCGGTCGATATTTTTGTTTGCGTATCCATTTGCTCCACGAACAGGTCGTAGATGTTGTAGTTCATCGCCTAAATGTTCTGGCTCACAATGCCATGGTCGACAATACTCTTATTTCTTTGCTAGATGATCAAGAAACTTGTTCAGATATCTATATATGTAGGTTAATATTTTGTAAACGGTGGGCTCTAGGTGTTATCTGATCTTCTCTAGACAAAGATATCTAGGAATGGTAGGATGCCACTTTCTTCTGCCTCCATAATGAAACTGATTGTCAGGATGTACTCCATTGATGTGAATTGCTGACTCCTTATTGTCTATAAAAGGCGTAAACAACAAAAATGAGAATTTAGTACACCTTGTGATAACTTTTACATGACAAACTGAAGGATCAGCTATCGGGTGACGCTTGTCCCTGGCAAATATCTAAGTGGAACCATTCGCGAAAAAAATCATAAAGTCAGTCAAAGGATTTAATTTTAAGATTCAGTTTCTTTGGAAAAAAACAAAGAAATGGCAATTTGCGATTTCGCACAATTCGTTGGCCAATCGTTGCTTATTAAATCAGTTCAGACATCCAGAACGTCTTTTACTTTCGTCTTACTCGCAGTAACGCGGTAAAATTTATTATTATATGTATTTGAAAGCTAATTAGAGGCAGTTATTTGGTTAGCTTTGTGGTTGTGTTCAGGGCGTATATAAAAATAAGTATAGAATAAGTTTGAAGCTGCCATCGCATAATGGCACCTTTGTGGTACATGTAAAGATCGACAAACTAGTCACTTTACTCTTTACTTTAAATCTAATTCAGAGTAATTAATTACAAAATACTCATAAATTTTCATCAAATTGAGTCATATTTACTCTTTGGGTAGCCATATGCATACATTCTTTCATTTTTAAATTCACGATGTGTTCAAACGGCTCACAAAAGAATAGTGGGCCTATAAAACTGCCTTCCTCCGTACACACTAGAAGATTTAGCACGTAAGTACTCTGAATGTTTCAATTCCAAAGAAAAAACCATAACTATACGTGAATGTGATGTATGGCCAGTCTTTAATACCAATTATATGGATATTAAAAAAATAACAGTTTATAAATAAGTTAAGGTAGTATTCTGGTATGGCGGTGTGATGTAATAATAATAAAGTAAAAGAAAATCTGAATATATTTCAGTACCAGGGTTTTTAAAGGGAGATGGTTCGAATATGTATATTCATTAATTAGTCTAAAATAAGAATATAATCTCTATACAAGTAGTTCGTACCTAACATATTAAAATTATAAAAGATCTTGCAAACATTTTAAAAAATTGTCTCATGTTTGTTTCTAACTTTACTTTACTGAAAACAATTTCATTCAAGGATGATGCCTTGAAAATTGAAACGGGTTTTTAAGCGAGATAAAGTACATTGATATCGCATTTTTTCTGTCTGCTACTTTTACTGTTTATTAGTAGGTACAATACATTCATACAGTTTATATCTCAATAGAATTGCATTCCTTACAACGAGCTAGTGAAACGTAAATGCTCCAATCTGAAGAGGCTAAAGAAATTTATATCTTTGGTATTTTAACGACATCGTTTACTTTTTATGATCTGCCTTGGATCTATCAACAAAGGTGGTAGTAAACCACTTAACAAGTGTTTCCTATTGAAATGATGTAAAAAGCGAAAGCTGTAAATTATTTTCAAGTGCTTATTAGAAACAAACCTTACCAAAGAAGCTCGTTGGGCGGACCATAAGAACAGATATATTTATTTGTATGCGAGTTTTACGACTACATTACAAACAAATAATTTTTGTATGTGTATTATAGTAATTTATTTACCTACATATAATATAAGAGGCACGTGATTTGCCAGCTTCTTACGCTTTTTTTAAAACAACCTATTATATGATACTATTGATCTTAATCAGAAAGAAAGTTATTTTGAAAAATATCTAAATGATAAGACCACTTTGAAGGGCCATATGTCAGTAACGGTGCTCCGGAGGACCAATATTTATAGGAACTTTTTTTACTATTTTTGGCTCTACTTTCATCACCTTTTGTACAAACTTTTTCCAAACACCATGTATAATATATGCGAATGAAATTTATACAACACATATTAGCTCGCATATATTTTTCTTGTTTAATGCATGGCAATTAACTTTTTATTTGAATAAAAATGTCTATTAATTAAGAGCCTGTAAAACTATGGCGTGGTGGTAAAAGTTAGGTCAACTGTCAACTGTGCTTATCCTTATCGAATTGAAGGT